CCTAACGGACCTCAAAGGCTAACCCCCCACTGAATGTGCAATAAAGGGAAGTTTTCTGTGTAGATGGTTTTGTATTTGAGTGTACATGTTTTTCTAGTTTTTATGTAATCTGTGTGTGTTCATATATGTATGAACATACATACACAAACCATCTTAAGGCAGACCACTCTGAGCAGCAAATGACTGTAGAGAAGTCCCACCAGAGGGTAAAAAATGAACCGATATGGCTAGGTGTGGTGGTGCACACCTGTAATCCCAACACTTTGGGAGGCTGAGGTGGGCAGATCACTTGAGGTTGGGAATTCAAGACCAGCCTGATCAACATAGAGAAACCCCAACTCTACTAAAAATACAAAATTAGCCAGGTGTGGTGGCTCATGCCTGTAATCCCAGCTATTTGGGAGGCTGAGGCAGGAGAATCGCTTGAACCTGGGAGGCAGAGGTTGTGGTGAGCCATGATCGCGACATTGCACTCCAGCCTGGGCAACAAGAGTGAAACTCTGTCTCAAAAAAAGAAAAAAAAAGTACCCATCACCAATGAACCATCTTCAAGTGCAGTATCCCAAACCAGAGACCATCTCTTGCCATTCACTGAGACTGCAGGCTTTGTTATTTAGTCTGCCCACAAAAGTGCTGGTTGACTATGTAATCTATGTAGGAGGTTTGCTGGGGCTGCCCTGCAGCCTCAGGGGTAGAGCCAGAAGCCTGGGGCAGAAGCAGGGCCCAAGGAGGCAGGCTGAGCTCCATGTGGGGTGGGCATTTCTATCACTCAGCCATGGGAAGACCAGCTTCTGGAGCTCTCCATTATGGCTGTGCAGGAGGAGAGGCTGGGATGACCACATGCTGCCAAGGACACTGCTGTCCAGGGCGGGCTGTTGAGAGAGACCTCTGCTGTCTCCGTCTGTTTGCAAATTTCTCCACCCTGGTTCTGAGAGCTCTGAGAGTGGGTGATGTGGAAGTGGTGAGTGTGGGAGGCTGTGTTCACCAAAATGTCCAATTATCCAGGACAGCCTGTGCCCGACACTCCTGGACATGGAGGCTCACGGCAAAGAGCCTGTGTCCTCAGGATGGGGCTGTGCTCAACTAGGTCATGTACATTCATTTTTCCTGAGGCATTTCCACTCTGTGAGAGCACCGACCATGGCTGACCATGTGCAAAGAGCTGCCCCAGGGATGGAGTTGTTGACCAGATGGATGAGGGGCCTGAGAGCCCCTATCACCAGCCTCTGCAGCTGGAGTGTCCACAGGACTCTAAGACCTCCAGGTGTCAGGTGGTGGCTTCTGGACCCATTATGCAGTATTTGATTTAAACAGTGGAGGAGTTGATGGCCCCAGCCCTGCTGCTGCCTTCCCAGAGGCTAGGATGCAGAGATGAATGCCAGGTGCCTTTCATGATGAAGTTGCAGGGAACACCTTAGGTGCAACAATAAGGTGGCAGGAACCTGATCTCTGTTACGGCACCTTAGCTCATAATCATACTCAGCTACCACACAGAGTCCAAACAGCCCCTCCAAGGACTCCCTATCATGTCACCTTGTTTGAGTGTCCTCGGGCCTCTTATCATTAGCTGATGTCTGCTTATGAATTGTTTGTTTATTGTCTGTCTCCATACTCCCTGCTAAGAGTGCAAGCTTTATGAAGATAGGGGCTTCATAAAGGTATATTTTTCCCTTCTTCTTCAATGTAATATTCCTAAAAGCCAGAACAGCAATTGCTTCACAGAGGGTGCTTCATAAATGTGCGCAGTTGCACAGAGAACAATGACAGTATTGCAGCGAAGGTGGTGATGAGGGATGGAGAAAGGGATGGGCCGCTTTAGACTTAGCTGCAATGCCATCTGACCTGTTCATGAATTCTCAACACTATCCTGCCATCCCTTAGGGAGAAAGTTGCCAAAGGGCTCAGACACTAGAGAGCTGTGTCCAAGCCCAGTGAAGGTGTAAGCTCAAAGCAGAATGAGGTCCATGGCTGCCCACCCCTCCTTCTTCCCATTTCAATCCACCGTGGCTGCCAACATTCGACCTCTTGCCTTGCACAGTACCTGACCTGCGGTGACTCCTCATCAACTAGACATGGAATAAAAGAATAGTGGCATGCGTGCTGCGGCTGCAAGCACTTCATGGGGATTCAACCACATTAGCACTTTACAGTCAGGCTCCTAAATTGTCTTCAAGATTCTAGAATCAAAGGGAGTTATTGGCCAATTCACTGACAGTTCACCAAGAAATAGTTCTACTACGAGGAGACTGAGCTTCTGCGCGCGCCACTGCGGGTGTGAACCTGTCTGTGTCAGTTTGCATCGTATGTGTGAGAGTGTGTACATATGCGTTAAGTGTGTGTGTCCTTCTTGCCAAGGTATGAGCATGCACATCTGTGTGTCTGTGACTGTGTGTGTGTAGATATTCACATGGGATTGGTGAGAGCATATACGGAGGGAGGGGGAGAGAGAGAGAGAGAGAGAGAGAGAAAGAGAGAGAGAGAGAGAGAGAGAGACAGAGAGAGAGAGAGAGAGAGAGAGAGAGAGAGAGAGAGAGAGAATTCTTGGCTGCAGAATCTGAATTTCTGCTAGTACTATTTTCCTGGTACACACCCAATCTGGATCCCCTTTCTTTTCCTTTCTTCTCAGAAATCCATTACTAAAAGGTTTTTTACCCACCTCCAGGGGGAGGGGGTTGGGGGAAGGAGACGCTAAAGTCACAAGGCCCAGATCAAAACACTCAGCAGCTAAATGAATTCGGCAGCATTTTCCCGCATGACTTGGAGGGATAATTTAGTGAGGCCGCCAGCTGGAAGGAAAGGGATTAATTCTGCACTTAGCACAGCTCTGGTGAATAATTCATTACTGGAGACCTTTGTGCCCAGCCCCTGGGCAATTGGGGGAACTGTCCTGCCCACCTGCCTGTTGCCTGCCTGGGCCCACTAGGCCGTCAGTCCCCTGACCAGGGCACCTGACGCTCCTTTTAGTCCCGGGATGCACATGGTGATATTGCAGCGAAGGCAGTGATTAGGGACAGAGAAGGGGATGGGCCCCTTTAGACTTAGCTGCAACGCCATCTGACCTGTTCACGAATTCTCAAGACTATCCTGCCATCCTTTAGGGAGAAGGATGCCGAAAGGGCTCAAACACTAGAGAGCCACGTCCAAGCCCAATGAAGGTGTGAGCTCAAATGAGGTCCACGGCTGCCCACCCTCCTTCTCCCCAGTGGAAAGGGCAGGAGGCAGAGGGAGGTGGGGAGGGGCTGTCAGTGGCCACAGGCAGACTTGGGACCCTGGGAAGAGGCCCTGGAGGATTGGGCTTCAAACTGGGAAGTTTGTGACCTTTTTCTCCAAGATTCTGCTCCCTCTTTCTCGGGGTTTTTGGCTTCTACCCTTGAGAGGGCAATTCTGAACACCTACGGCAGGGAGTGCCAATGGGGGTCTCAGTGACTTTCCAGAGGTCTTGTAAGGACACTTGCAGCATGGTACTAGCCCAGACACACTCCTTACACCCCACACCGTAGGACTCCCCGTGTTCTTCATGAGCGAGGTCACAGAGCCAAGTCCTGCCCCAGAGCCAGTGGATGTTTTTCCCGCGTGGGAAGAAGGCAGGAGTGGGCTGGCGTGGACATTAGTCCCTGCAAGCATTTTCTGGGTTCATAGTCCTAAAACCACCCATGTGTCAGCACCACTGAGAGGAAAGGGGAAAATGCAGCGGGTGTCTGGCACGTGCACTGCAGCCAAATGAGCAGGGTCTAAGCTGGGCTCAGAGACCAGGTGTAGCCAGCTAGAGAGATCGAGGCCCGTCCAGCAGGCAGGGCTCAGCCCTGGGTGTCTTCCCATTTGGACCAACCCAGATGTGGTGGACAGAATCCCAAAAACGGGCCTCCAAGATTTTACAACCTCACTCTTGGAACCCGTGAATATGATGGTCGATCACTCCTGGGATTATGTCTGTTATATGGCACGGTTGACTTTAAGATAGGGAGATGATTAGAGTGGCCGGACCTCATCACCCCAGCCCCTCTGAAGTCCCTCTAAAAGCACCTCTAAACGTTTTCTCTGGCTGCCGACAGGAGAAGAAGTAAGAGTTTTGAAGTGTGGGTTGGGCGCGGTGAATCCCAGCACTTTGGGAGGCCAAGGCGAGTGGATCACCTGAGGTCAGGAGTTTGAGACCAGCCTGACCAACATGGTGAAACCCTGTCTCTACTAAAAATACACAAAATTAGCCAGGTGTGGTGGCTGGCACCTGCAATCCCAGCTACTCAGGAGGCTGAGGCAGGAGAATCATTTGAACCCAGGAGGCGGAGGTTGTGGTGAGCTGAGATTGCACCACTGCACTCCAGCCTGGTGAAAAGAGCAAAACTCTGCCAAAAAAAAAAAAAGGAGTTTTGAAGCATGACAGGGACTGGACATGCCTGCTGGCTTGAGATGAGCAGGGCCACTGTGAAGGGGCATGTGGGCATCCTTCAGGAGCTGAGAGCCACCCCAGCTGACAGCCTGCAAGACCAGGATGGGAGTACGGCACTGCAGGGGGCTGGATTATGGCAGCAACCTGAATGAACTTGGAAGCAGATTCCTCCCCAGACCCCCCAGAAAGGAATGCAACCCTGCCAACATCTTGATTCCAGCCACCTTATGTCATGGGACCTACCTATAGAAGTGTCAGCTAATAAATGGGCATGGCTTTAAGCTGCTTAGCTGGTTCTAAAGCGATAGAAAACTGATATCCTAGTTCAGAACACGGGCGGAACCTTGATCCCAGTGAGCCGGACTTGGTTTGGACTGGGTCAGAGGCTGACTCCCCGGTCTGAGTGGCCCTCTGCTCACAACTCTGTTCTTCCTAATCTCAGCTCTGTGTTTTTCTGGAGTCTCAAATCACCCTTAGACGTTTCCATCCAAAGCAGTAGTCCCGTCCTCCCTGATGTCCCTGGTCCCTGAACAAAGCCAGCAATTGTGAAGGAAGTTGGGCCTCACTGACATGTGTCTGCTGGCCCTGACCCTCCCCTGGCCCACAGCCTTACCTCAGAGGAAAACAGCTGGAAGGAAAGATCCACTGTGGGGGCCTCACCACTGATAGTTTTCAGGCTGGTGTCCTGGGGAGAAGGGAGCACTCAGACCACGCTGGCTAGGACAGCTTCCACCTCTGTGCCACCTACTGTTCCAGATTTCTCCGGAAGGTGTCACCTGGGGGCTCACCCAGGAGGGCGAGAGGGAGGTGGAAGCTGGCCTCCTGCTTCTGCCCCCGCAAACTGCCTCTACATCTCCCCTTCTAAACCCCTCTAGAGACCTGTTAGGCACCACCAGGCACATCTGACAGAGAGATTCTCATTTGTTGAGGTCTTATGTCATCCTCTTATGTCAGGATGGCCAGAAGTATTTTAGGGGAAAAGGTGGCACAGGAGTAGAGAGTGATGGTAACAACATTATTATTTCTTATTGAAAACTTATTCTAAGTGCTTTCCATTGGTTTTCTCACAAAATCTCACAGCAACCCTGTGAGAAAAGTGCTATTACCATGTACCCATTTTAGAGGCAAGGAAACTGAGGCATTGAAACTTTAAGTAGTTTTCCCATGGCCATGTTAGCTGGTATGTGATGGAACCAGAATTTGGACCCAGACAGTCTGGCTCTAGAGCCTGAGCTCTGAACTCTCTTGTTATACACAGAGATTGTGGACTTGGCATGTTGTTCCCGTTTTAGAGATGAGGACTCTGAGGTTCAGAATGGTTAAGTTATGTGTCTGAATTTCCACAGTGAGGATGGGACCAAGACAGGATTTGAACCCAGGTCTAGCTGACTGGGGCTCACCATGATGGGAAGCTGCTCCACGCGAAGCCCATTCAAGCCTTTCCCTGTCAGCATCTTCCGGTACAGACGGCTCCTTAGCGGCAACACAGAGATACCCAGGGGCTGGGCGAGGGTCCACGGTTGGCTGCCTTTCACTGCGGGGGAGGGATCAGCTGGGGCTTCTGCCAAAGCCCCCACCTGGGCCCCATCCTTTAATACCTGACATCCAGTCCTCCTGCCTCCCGCCACCGCTGCCACCTGCTTTCCTGCCTCCTGGACTTTCTCTGCACATACATCCTCTTCTCGTCTTCAGGGCTTTGTGAACTCAAAGCCAACTCTAAACATATTCTGTGTGCCTGGGAAGTTATATGCACCACCCGCAACTCTGGCCTTTGGGGGCCTTAATCCCACAGTGCAGAAGACTGTGGATCAGCGTGTCACTGAATCCCATCTCCCTCACCCTTCTCTCTGAGTTCTGACGGCTCCACTGTCCCCATCACTGATGGGGCTAAGACCTAGTATGGGACAGGCCCACATGTCCTGGCCTGTGGACAAGGAATGCAGCCAGGCTCTGCTCTGCCTGCACTAAGAAGCTGCTTTGGCACCTGGGAACCATCCATCCCTGTGGGAGGATGGTCTGAATACCCTTTCATAATACAAGTCTCCTGAGGCATGGCTACCCTGGCAAGGCAGCAGGGGGCACGTACTCGAAGCTGAGGGGTAGTACTCCAGCACCAGGGCTGTGTCTTCTGAGAAGTTGGTAGCTCCATCTTGGCCTTGGAAGAGGAAGGACTGATTCCACAGGGGCTGCTCTGGGGGTCCCCCAGGCTTGGACAGCTGGAGGAAGAGGGTAGGAGCAGGTGGTGGGGCCACAGCCTCTCCCAAATCAAGATATGCTCAGATACTTGGTTGTGTGTATCTACATTTGTCACAAATGTTTCTCCCAGTTACAAAAGCAAGTTGTCTGGGCATGGTGGCTCACGCCTGTAATCCCGGCACTTTGGGAGGCCAAGGCAAGTGGATCAATTGAGGTCAAGAGTTCAAGACCAGCCAGGCCAACATGGTGAAACATTGTTTCTACTGAAAATACAAAAATTAGCCAGGCATGGTGGCACACCCCTCTAGTTCCAGCTACTCCGGAGATTGAGGCACAAGAATCACTTGAACCCAGGAGGCAGAGGCTGCAATGAGCCAAGATCATGCCACTGCACTCCAGCCTGGGCGACAGAATGAGATCTGTCTCAATACATAAATAAATAGGCCGGGCACAGTGGCTCACTCCTGTAATCATAGCACTTTGGGAGGCCAAGGTGGGTGGATCACCTGGGGTCAGAAGTTGGAGACCAGCCTGGCCAACATGGTGAAACCCCGTCTCTACTAAAAATATATATAAATTAGCCAGGCGTGGTGGTGGGCTCCTGTAATTCCGTCTACTCAGGAGGTTGAGGCAGGAGAATTGCTTGAACCCGGGGGGCGGAGTTTGCAGTGGGCAAACTCCACTACACTGCAGCCTGCCTCTGTCTCTAAATAAATAAATAAATGCAACACACACATAATAAATACATTTTGGAAAATACAGAAAAGTAGAAAGAAGGAAAACAACTCCTGTGTTCCCATGATAAACACGACAATTCATAGAACTGTGTTTCTTCCTAGATTTTTGTGTGTATATTTTTATGTAATTGCCTCTCTTCATTTATTATTGGTAAACTGTTTTGACTCAGCCCCCCTCCCCTCATAGCTCATCATCGTCCAAGAGGATAGGGGACAGACATGCGCACACACGCACACGCACACACACACACACACACATACACACACATGCACAATACATGTAGAGTTGAGTCTAACATCCCGCCTTTTTCATTCACCAGTAAAATGTAAGCATATCCAAAGTCAGAAAAAACTCATTACCCATGACTTTAGTAACTTCAGAATATTCTGTCGTGTCCAAGTGCCCTGATTTCTCCCTTCCCATTTTCCCCTGTAATAACGCTGCATTGAATGTTTTCTACTACGTATCTTCATATTACAAATTACTTTCTTACTACAACTACCTACAATGGAATTGCTGAGTTCGAAGACGTGTATTTTAGGACACCTCATTCATTCTTGGTGAACTGTTTTCCTAAAGTGTTGCGCCAATGTTCACGCCCATGGCTGGCGGTGTCACAGATGCCAAATTAGACATGACCTCTGTCTGCGTCACGAGCCCCTCTCTGCCCCACACAGCTTCCCCAGCCCCTTGCAGAGGCCAAGCCAGCTCTGCAGACTACAGAGCCTCCGTGTGCCCACAGTGTGGGCCAGAGGGCACATGGGAGAGAGACATGACGGCACCCCAGGCCAGCAGTTGGGGCACATACCTGGGTATGATTTAAACAGTGAAACAAGACAGTATGAACTGTAGTAATGCCCAGTAAGACAGCCATAGGAAATATTCCCATGGGCGGTCAGAAAAGCCTCCTTCAAGGAAGCAGAACCAGAGAAAGGCTCTGAAGGAAGGTCTGGCTGGGGGAAGAGAGGGATAAAAGTCTTCAACGTGGGAACACAGCACAAGGAGAAATGTAAAGTGGCACTGAGCACAGCCTGTGCAGAGGACGCCTGGAATGAGAGACACCAGGGGGAGGCCCAGCATCTGCCAAGGCCAGAAGGTGGGAGATGGGAGACGGCCATCAGCCTGTACCTCCCAGCGGGCAGCCCTGAAGGGTCCCAGCACGGGGTGGGGCTGTGGGTCATTGGCACAGATGCACCAAGTGGCTGCCTTGCCTCTGTTCCCCAGTCAGGGGCTGTCAGCAGCAGTAGCAGCCGCTCCCACCTCCTGCTCCCTTGCAGGAATCAGTCCTTGCTAAAGGTCAGCACAAATGCACCGTGACTCTAGGAGTTATTGATGCGGGATCATGAAATATCAGCATAGGTCCACTCCTCCCACAGTGGCAGGGGCCTGATGACGGTCACACTGGTTTGCCCAGGCCCAGCCGGAGGCTCAGCTGTGTCTGCCCCTGCCTGTGGAGAGATGGGTTGCAATCACTGCAGGGCTAGCATGCCCTGGACACCTAAACAGAGACTGCAGTGATGGGAGTGTCCCACTCCTGGTGGGAGCTTGGCCACCAGGTCAGGCGAGAGAAGGTGGCTCTGAATTCTGTGGGACTTGGGAGTGATCTTTCAAGATTGATCCCCAAACCACATCCCTCCCAGAGCCACCCCATTCTCCTGGGTGCAGGAGGGTCTCCATGGCTGCCATGGTCTGCCAGGCACTGGGGCACCTGCTGCCCATGCCTTGCTCCTATCCTGGAAGAGGGTTATTTAGTAGATGTAGCTGCCCTCTCTGGGATCTATTCATGTGTCTAAACAGAGCCTACACACCCAGAGGTGGTGCCCAATAAGGAACAGCTCTTTCCCTGAGCAGTTTCCCAGGACGAGTCACCTAGGAAAGATCCCTTCAGACCTAGGACTGGGGAAGGAGGGTCAGCCTCTCTTGTGTATGTGCAGGTGGGAGTGGCGGGAACTGGAAGTTAGACCTGCAGAGTCTGACGCCAGAGCCCTGGTGAGGGTGCTGTGGCTGATGTGCGTGCAGGGTGGGGGCGGGGAGAGGCAGGCACTGCCTGCAGATGCTAATGGGAAGGGCCACAGCCACAGTGGAATTACGGAATGTCATTAACCCTCAGCTGTGATCTTCAGAAAAGCCATTAACCCTCAGCCATGGAGGCAGACCTGCTTCCCCTGGGGACAGAGCCTTCATTCCATGGCCCCCCTCATTTCCCCTGGGCCCACCCACACCCACCTCTGCCTGCTCTGCCCAGGCGTAGTGGCCGCCATCTGGAGGAATTGCTGCCGGCAGCAGATGCTGGGCTGGGGTCTCCAGGGAGCTAGGACCCCTTGGCTCTGGGCCTGGGTCTGCCTTGACCTTGCCGTGTGACCTTCAACAAGTCCCTTCTCCTCTTTGGGACCTAGTTTTCCCATCATCCAAGGGGAATAGGCCTCAAACTCATTTTGAAAGCCTGGTGTGAGGTTAAAGGAGACAATGGATGTTTTGCTATTAAGATGAAAGTTCTACTCCACTAAGCAAATGTTGACCCTCCATGCCAGAGGCCGGCGGGGTGCTGCTAGAGCCAGACGCTGCCCACCACCCTGTAGCTCACCATCTTCCAAGAGGATAGGGACACACACACACACACACACACACACACACAATACATGTAGGTAGAGTCCTAAGCAGGCTGTGGTTGTGGGAGCTGGGGTATGTGAGGAGAAAGCCATGATTTCTTACCCTATTCCTCAGGGAGGACCTGAAGGAGAAGGGCAACAGGTAAGGAGGAGGAAGACCATTCCAGGCTGAGTGTAGCAGAGACAGAGGCTGCAGGTGGGAGGGGGCAGCATGGGTGTGGAGAACAGCAAGTCGTCCAGTGGGGCTGCAGAATGCCTATGTGAGCTAGAGCCATAAACCAGGAGGCTGGAGGGCATGGGGCCTCGTGAACCTGGCTGAGAGAGGGGCTTTGCCTTTTTGTGATAGGGACAAGGGGCCCAGGGGAAGGGCTAGGTAGGGGATGGCCTAGCTGCTCCTCAGAGAATGAATGGCAGGGGCCTGAGGGGAGACCAGCACTAGGACAGGGTCTGTGGGCATGGAAGGGGCCCCAGGAGAGCTTGGGGACAGACCAGCTGTGGGGCTGAGAGAGGAGGAGATGGTGGTGGGCACACATGGCTTCCTGGAGCTCCACCCCAGCTCTGCAGAAGACAGGAACAATAGGAGCAGCTTGTTGGGCAATGGGCCCCTTCCAAGGTGCTGGTGTAGGAGTAACTTACACGGCCCACCCTATGTTGGTTCCAGCAGGCTGGACCAGATGAAGTCTGACTGGCCACCTATCCCTTAACTCACCAGTTCAGGCTTTGCCAGCATCACCAGGCTCCACTGAGGGCCACCTAGCCCACCACCATTCCGCTCCCTGCCTCATCACCAGCAGATGGCCTTTGGGTTCGGGTGACTCATAACCTTCCACATTAATATCAGCAAGGCCGAACCACACCCCTCCTCAGTGATTGGCTCAGGGAAGTGCATGTAACCCAATACTGGCCAAGGAGACAGGAAGGAGGTCTGCTGAAGGATGGGTGGGTGAGGTTGATTTCCAGATGCTCCTTTTTTTTGGAGATAGAGTTTCCGTCTTGTCGCCCAGGCTGGAGTGCAGAGGCACGATCTCGGCTCACTGCAACCTCCGCCTACCATATTCAAGGGATTCTCCTGCCTCAGCCTCCTGAGTACCTGGGATTACAGGCACCTGCCACCACGCCTGGCTAATGTTTGTACTTTTAGTAGAGACAGGGTTTCATCATGTTGGCCAGGCTGGTCTTGAACTCCTGACCTCAGGTGATACACCCACCTCGGCCTTCCAAAGTGCTGGGATTACAGGCATGAGCCGCTGTACCTGACCTCCAGTTGCTCCTTAAAATCACCTGCAAAAAGAGAGGCTGTGGCCAAGCGCAGTGGCTCACGCCTGTAATCCCAGCACTTTGGCCTATAATTCCAGCACTCTGAGGCCAAGGCAGGTGGATCACCTGAGGTCGGGAGTTTGAGATCAGCCTGGCTAACATGGTGAAACCCTGTCTCTACTAAATGTACAAAATTAGCTGGGTGTGGTGGTGCATACCTGAAATCCTAGCTACTTGGGAAGCTGAGGCAGGAAAATTCCTTGAACCCAGGAAAAGCAGGCTGCAGTGAGCCAGGGTGGCACCACTGCACTCCAGCCTGTGTAACAGAGTGAGGCTCCGTCTCCACAAAGAAGAAGGAGGAGGAGAAGGAGGAGGAGGAGGAGGAGGAGGAGGAGGAGGAGGAGGAGGAGGAGGAGGAGGAGGAGGAGGAGGAGAAGGAGGAGGAGGAGGAGGAGGAGAAGGAGGAGAAGGAGGGGCTGCCTCTTTTCTTCTGGTCTTTTGTTCTATTTGGGTGGGATGCCCCCATGAGCTAGCCAGCTGAAGATGGTAATTCATGGGTGTTGGAAAGATCCTGAGACCTCGAGGACACTTTTGAGCCTGAGCACCCACCAATTCTGGCAGCATCCTGTGCGGTGATTTGATGTGGTGTGTGACAATAAATATCCTTAGTGTTTAAGCCAATCCAAGTTGGGGTTTCTGTTAATTGGAGCCAGATGAGAAAAGGGCTAGCCTCAAAGGGGGCACTGGCACTAGGGGAGGTACAGCTCTGAAAAGAGTGGAACACATTTATCAAGGACCCTGGGCCTGGGCACTTTGCAAAGATTATCCTTTGCATTCCCCTGACAGCCCGAGGAGATTGGAATCAATGTGTCTGGAGAAAGGGGCAGCTTACCAAAGGTCATGCAGCCAGCAAGTCACAGAGCTGGGGTCAAATCCAGGTCAAACAGTGCTTTTGCATGGTGACAGTTGGTGAGAAATCACAGCCCCCCAAGATGTCAGAGAGGGCAGACCCTAGAAATTACCAAGTTCAATCTCACCCGCTCAACTGTAGAGATAAGGGGACTGAAGGTCAAAGGGGACAGGGCGGGGATCTGCGTGAGGTCTGAGCCAGGCTGCTGACTGGTGCCCCTCCAGGTAGGGCTCTGCCCTGGCAATCCCCACCCCTCCTTCCCACAGCAGCCTGTCCCTGTTCTCTCACTGCTGTACGTGGGCACCTTTGTGCCAGCTGCCAGCAAATTCCCAACCTAGCCCACGGGCCATGGGGTTGGGTGACGTTCAACAAGTGTCCTGCCATTGCTGGACCTCTGGCTCTGGGTCCCACACATGCAAAAGGCACTGGGGGCAAGTCTTTGTAGTGAGGGGCGCCTCCCCACCCAGACTAGTTAGGCAGTAAAGGCAGCCAGAGAGAGCCTGGGGGTGGGAGGGGGTGCACTCATTAAAGCAGGCAGCGCCTCCTACCCCTTGGGACAGCCTGCTGATTGGTTCTTAATTTTCTGGGCAAATGCAGGGCCATGTGTGAAGTAACTCTGGGGAAATCAGGCAAAGGATTGGTTTGGGTTTGAAGCCTCTGTCCCCCGGGTCCCCCTTTGTCCCACCCCTCCCCAACACCATCACTCTACCCCATGTCTGAGCCTTCTTGAAATGTCTTTGCCTTTAAAGGAAGGCTGGGCTCCAAAGGGGTGTCTTATTCTCTTTTTGTTTTGCTAGACATAAGTATTGGTGGGCAGACAGCAGGAGGACCTTCAGAAATCCACCTGTCCTTCAAGGTCCCTAGGAATGTTGGGACCATTATGTGGGGCAACCTGGCAGTGAAGCACAGACCATAAGAGACCATCTGGCTATTCCCCCAGACCCAGCCATGGACTGACTGTACCCCAGCCCCCAACCACATACTCAAACACACAGCCCTCCTGTCCACCCTGACACATGTCCTGGCCTGCGTGTCCCCACCTCACACTTGTGTCTCGCAGTGCCCAACTGCCCTGCCCTGTACCAACCCTTCCTCTGTTAAAAATTCAAGACCAGGTGCGGTGGCTCATGCCTGTAATCCCAGCATTTTTGGAGGCCAAGACAGGTAGATCACGAGGTCAGGAGTTCAAGACCAGCCTGGCCAAGATGGTGAAAGCCTGTCTCTACTAAAACTATAAAAATTAGCCGGGTGAGGTGGCAGGCACCTGTAATCTCAGCTACTCAGGAGGCTGAGGCAGGAGAATCACTTGAACCTCAGCGGCAGAGGTTGCAGTAAGCTAAGATCGTGCCATTGCACTCCAGCCTGGGTGACAGAGTGAGACTTCATCTCAAAAAAATAAAAATAAAAATAAGACTACCTACCCTAATCTAGGCTTTACATCCCTTTGCTCTGATTAAAAAAAAATGTTTTTCCCAGGTATAGTGGCTCGTGCCTATCTCAGCATTTTAGGAGGCCGAGGCAGGTGGATCACCTGAGGTCAGGAGTCTGAGACCAACCTGGCCAACATGATAAAACCCTCTACTATAAAGACAAGGATTAGCCAGGTGTGGTATCACATGCCTATAATCCCAGCTACTTGAGAGGCTGAGGCAGGAGAATCACTTCAACCAGGGAGTCGGAGGTTGCAGTGAGCTGAGATCTCACTGCAATCCAGCCTGGGAGACAAGAGCGAAATTCTGTCTCAAAAAATATATAAATAAATAAAATGCACACAACACAGTGTTCACCACTGTAGCCATTTTTAAGTGTACGGTTCAGTGATGTTAAGTGCATTCGTATTGTTGTATAACCATCACCAGTATCTGTTTCCAGGACTTTCCATCACTCGAAACAGAAACTGCATACCCGTGACCCGTAACTCCCCGTTCTCCTCTTTCCCCAGTCCCTGTAGCCATTGTTCTGCATTCTGACTCTGAATTTTCCATTCTAGGTATCTCATATAAGTGGAATCATACATTTGTCCTTTTATATCTTCTCTCCTCTGATGTTATAGTCCTGACCGGCCCTCCTGGTTTGTTATTAGATTATACATTATCTTGTGTTGATGTTCAAGTTTTCACCCATGTGACTCCCATCTTCACCAGACCGAGAGTTCCTGGAGGGCAATTTCTCTGTGGCACAGACGAGCGCAGCCCTGGGTATACCTCGGGATGCAGTCAACCCTTACTCAATAGTCAAGGGAACTGCTGACTAACCCACTGAGTGAGTGAACAGTGAATGTGCCGGGGAGTTACCAGAAGCCGGAACCAGTGGGGAGGAGACATACCTGAGGGCATCCATTCTGGCTGACCCGAGGCACGTCAAAATTCATCACAGACGGGATAGGGAAGGAGAGTGGGGTGATGGGCAGCCCCACGGAGGTCAGGTCCCTGTTGGCCTGGCTGACCCTGGGGAGGCAGGGAGACAGGATCAGTGCTCTGGGCTCTGCACCTGAGCCTGGCAGCCTGGGGACCCCACTCTGACTCTGGTTTGATATGACAGAAGGGAGTGCAGGGACCCCTCCAAGTCTGGGCCTGGACCTCATGACAAGTGGGGACCACTGGGCTGGGTGTGCATCAGTCATCTTCCTTCCTTCAATAAGCAAGGGGGCTTTGTAGGTCGTACAAACTCAACAGGAGGTACAGATAAGTCGGGGCATCATGATAAGTTGGAAGTGACCGAGACAGACCCTGTCTCCCAAGAGATGGTGCTGTCGCAGAGAGCGCACGCTCACTGGGAAAGTTTCCCACTGTGTCCAAGTATGAATCTCATGAGGACTGACTCCAACAGACTCAAAAGGAGGTCTCGTGGGGAGGGGATGTGTTGAGGCCTCCAGGATGAGGAGGGAGGGGACTCTGGCAGGGCTAAAGACTGAAGTTCCAGCTGGGCGCAGCGGCTCATGGCTGTAATCCCAGCACTTTGAGAGGCCGAGGTGGGTGGATCACAAGGTCAGGAATTCAAGACCAGCCTGGCCAACATGGTGAAATCCTGTCTCTACTAAAAATACAAAAATTGGCCAGGCCCGGTGGCTCACGCCTGTAATCTCAGCACTTAGGGAGGCCGAGGAGGGCGGATCACCTGAGATCAGGAATTATAGACCAGCCTGACTAACATAGAGAAACCCCATCTCTACTAAAAATACAAAATTAGCCGGGCATAGTGGCACATGCCTATAATCCCAGCTGCTCAGGAGGCTGAGGCTGAAGAATTGCTTGAACCCAGGAGGCAGAGGTTGCGGTGAGCTGAGATTGTGCCATTGCACTCCAGCCTGGGCAACAAGAGCAAAACTCCTCAAAAACAAAAAAAAAAAGACTGTAAAGTTCCAAGATGGCCTTTGGGGCCAACCACCGGCTGGAGCCTGTAGCCCTGAGCTGGAGTGGGACGGGGAGTGTGGAGGTGGTGGGTGTGAGGCAGGGAGGCAGGCTGGAGGGGCTGAGGCCCCCTAGGCAGGGAATGAGGACCCTTCTTGTTCCCCTTCACACACTCTGTGGCTGTCAGGCCTGGTATCGGCACTCATCCCCACCACCTCCTCTCCAGCCTTTCTAGGGGCCAGGGCTCTCCCTGGGGAAAGAAAGGCATGGTCTGCTGCAGGAAGCTTACCACTGGACCTCTGACCCAGTGAGGAGGTTTGAGGGGCCTTAGGGGCAGAGGGGTTTCCAGAGGTCCTGGAATCAGCTCGTAGCAGCAATGACAGCCCTGCCCCCTCCTCTGCCCTCTGCCCTCCCCTGCTTGCCCATGCCCACCTGGGCCCCACTCACTTAAATTCCTTGTAGTTGGGAACAACCCGGGCAATCACCACAATGGGGTTGGGGTTGTTGGCCAGGGGCTCATTGACTCCCCGGAGAAAGATCTGGAGAGGAGAGGAGGCAGGTAAAGCCCCATGTGCCCTTGGGACCTTCCAGAGACAGCCAGCCAGCCTGCCCACTATCCTTCTCCCCAGCCGTGGGCTCATGGCTGCCTCCACACTTGACACCCGCTCTTCCCTGTTGTTTGCCTTCCTCGGTTCCCGCCTGGCACCAGGCTGCCCTCCCTCGGGAAGCCTTCTCTGCCAAGCTGAGGAGACGGCCCCTGCTCTCTGTCCTGGGATTTGCCAAAGGATCTTTTACACTAGTCCCTTTGGGAAGAAAGGGTGCAATGAGAGTTGGGGCCTGGGAAGGGAGGTTGTGTTCTAACCTTGGCCCCTCCACTGGCTCCTGGGGAGGGGAGGGCTAGGGTTAGGGCTAGGTGCTCCAGCTCCTTAGTTTCTGTCAGTCAAATGAGGCTCCTCCCAGGACTGTGAAGGGTCTCTGATTAGACGGTTTGTGAGAGAGCACTTTGTAAACTGAGGGCAGTCTGGCTTCTCCAAACATGCTGAACTTCCTGAGGTCATTAGTCACAGCCAGGCTCCCTGGCCTCCCCAGCACCCATCACCCTGGTGCCTGCTCCCCACAAGCTTTCCCCAGAAAGTACAGATTTGGAACAGGATCATGGGATCCGCCTCTCTGGGCTTCTCTTTCTTCATCAGATCCCATTGTCACTCCTCTGACCGCCCTGTTACCTTCTCAGTCCTCTGCCACCTCCTAAGGGCTTGCCTGCCTCCCAGCCTGGACTGCCCTCTCCCCGACTCTGGGCCTCCACCTGCGCAGCTTTCAGAGAGCAGAGCAGTGGTGGGGGGGCTGGGCCCAGCAGGAGACTACAAAGCTGGACTGGGCAGTGTCCCTTGCTCCAACCCTCACTGACCCCCTGCAGTCTGGGCCTGGGGGACACTGGAAAGCAGGCAGGGGAGACAGGGAGTCTGCCCTCACGTGCCCCCACTGCCAGCCCAAGATCCCCTGATCTTCCGGCCCTGACCCTCACCCCATATCCACTAACGGCCCTCAATCTCCCTCAGCCCCCACCCACTTCCCACTCGCTGTCATTCCTCTTGCTCCTCCCATCCCTCTGTCTCCTCACTAGCCTCTCCACTTCCGTTCCTTTTCCTAATCCATCCTCTTTCCCAGGCAATTTGACACAGGATGGCAAAAGTGCTCTTGTTAAAAATGAACTGGGTCATGTCACTCCCTGTCTGACACCCTGCATGTCCCTCTGCCTCGTCTCCCTATGTGGAGGGGGCAGACCCCATCTTCTTGCTCCAGACCCCTTTTCTCTTACTCCTGCCACATGGCCCTCTTGTTTCTGCCACAGGATCTCTGCACATGCTAAACCCTCTGCCCAGACTCCCCCTACCCTCCAGTAGCCCATCATGGCTGGCTCCTTCTCATCCTGTAGCTTCAACATCAGCACCTTTGAGAAACCTCCTGTGGTATTCTTAATAAAGCAGCCCACCCTATTCTCCCGATCTCAGTTGCTGGATTCCCTTTGCCATAGCACTCATCATAGCTTATGTTTATTCTAATTTATCTCTTGTTTATTTTCTGTCTATTTGGCTATATCCCAAACCCCACAAGAGCAGGGACCATGTCTGTCTCATTCACGGTTGTCATTCTCGGTTTTAACAAAAGTGCCTGGCATAGAAAAGAGCTCAGTATCTGTTTGTGGATAAATGAGGATCATATGATTGAAGAAGAAAAGAGAGGAACAATGGAGGGAAAGTTTACCCTTCCTGTGTTTATGAGCAGGAAAGAAGGAGAGAGAGAGAGAGAAACAGAAAGACCCAAGAGAAAGAAGGGGAGAAGGCAGGCAGTGGTCTGGGTGAGGGTCTGCCTGGGTCTTGGGGGATGTGTGGGATCCTAGTTCCATGGTGCTGATGGGAAGAGAAGCAGTAAGAGGAAGGGGCTCTGGACACGGCTGACGGACTCTGCCCCAGGCATAGCTTGGGATGAGAAGAGGGCCTCACTGGTCTATTCCGGCTCAGCCACTCACTCTAGCTGGGTCACGTTGGCCAGTTCCTGCTCCACTCTGGACCTCAGTTTCCCAACTTGTGCATGGAAGGGTTGAACCATAATCTCCCCTGAGTTTCTAGCTCTGACTTTCAATGGGAGGAGAGGGCCCAGGAGTGGAGCTTGTTCTGGATCCTCCTCCTTTTTCTCCCTCTGCACCCTCCTCTCAGGCCCCTCTGCCAGGACCCATGTCAGCTGGTTGCCCCTAACTCTAATCCCACACAGGCGTGAGCTGATGGGCATGTACAATAGTCCTCAGGACCTTGCAGCTCTCACTGAGGGCTCTGGAGACTGAATCCCTTCACCACACTCAAAGGATTGACTCTCTGATGGTACATCTCACACTTTGGGTGGGTCTGGGGTCTGGGCCTGATGGATTTCACTGGAGGCTGGCAGACCCTATTACTCACAGGCTCCCCAGCAGGTGTAAGGCTGAAAAGGGGGTGGTGGCAGCTAATCTGCACCTGTTCTGTGTGGACTCTGATCAGGTGTGAATGAGACAGCTGCCCAAGTACACCTGCTCATGACAGCCCGGGAAGCGGCGAAGTTTCTGCTCCTGCCGTGCGCTCACCATCAGGAGCAGGCAGCTACTCTGCGGCCATCCCTGTCGTACAGATGGAGAGGACATCTGTGCTGGGGCAGGAGACTGGGCAGGCTGCTGCAGGCCAGGGAAGACCCCCACTCTATCACTCTACCAGGCAAGTCAGAGGGCTGAGTTGTGGGGGGCAGCTCCATAGCAGCCCCATAGTTCTGCCTGGGTCTTGGGGATGTGGCCCCCTCCCTGTGGGGTGTGGCCTGGGGACAGCAAGTCCAGGCTGTTGTCCCTCTTCCTTGTTCTGTGTGTGTTTGAGCTGCTGGCTGTCCTCGGGAAAAAGGGCGTGATAGAAGGTGGGGGAGCAGAGGGCACCTGTAGGTCTGACATGCTGACATTGGAGGGTAGCTGTGGGGGGGTAGCAGTGTGGGTTAGTTCTGGCTCCCATACCATACTCCCCTTGGGTCTCAGTGTCCCCGGCTGTGAAATAGGACAAAAGAAGGCTTCCTCCCCTGCCAGGCTCACGGTGCTGGTGGGAGGTAGGAGAGTGGGAAGGGTAGAAACAGATCAGCCATGTTTGGGTACGTGGAAGCTCAGAGTCTGGGTCCTGTGCCTCCGACCCCGATCATACTCAGGCCGTAGCTGAATTTGAATCTGTCACCTATGGGCAGTTTGAAAGCTGGGGGAAATGGGAAAGGTCCCTGGATCTTGTCTGCTTTGAGCATCAGGAGTTCCTCCTGAAGCTGCTAATTGGCCTAGAGGGTGAATGGTGATGGGTCAAGCAGAGGTGGCCGGACCCAAGGTGGGCCCAGCCCTGCCTGGCTAATGGCAGAGGCTCTGTAAACAGCTGCTGAATGAATAAATGAATGAATGAACTGAATACTTAATCAGCAGACCAGTCAAACCTCTCTAGCCACAGTACTGAAGGAAAGGCTCAAGGAGGCCCTACCCTCTGGCTTGCGGGCCCAGGCACTATCCCAGGAGTGAAGAATAGAACTGGAAACAGCTGGGCTGTGGGCTAAGAGGGAACACGGGCGTCTGTCCTGCCCCTAGCATAAGATTCGGGGAGACACAAGGCTCCAGGGGGTTCCAGTCCCCACTGCAGCACAGAGATGGTACACAAGGAGCAGCGCTTTGGCTGAGCCCCTGCCCCCACCTCCAAGACAGAGACGGAAGGAGAAGAGGCTGGAGCATCTTCATCCTCGTCATTCCTGCCAAAGGGCTTGTCTTCACAAACTCCTTTTGCTATTTTGGAAAGGCCTGGCTGCTTTTTTCACTCTGACACCTTTGCTCCACACCCTCAGGCCAGCCAGAGGGGGCCAAGGGCAAGGTGTGGGGCCTGCTCAAAGCTTGGCCCCTTCTCACCCCATCCCACCCCCACCCCTGAGGGCCCCAGCCCTGGTACCTCCAGAGCTTCGTGGTTGCAGCCGACGTAGCGTGGGATGAAGCTGCTCTTCCGAACAACTGTTGCGTACAACTGAGTCTTGGCAGTGGCTTCGTCGGCTTTCCCAGACTGGGTGGGCTGGAGAAAGTGTGGGGGCAGAAGATACAGAGGAAGGAGAGTGTCTAAGGGGCAGATCATGGCCATAAATCCAGCCCACTGCAGACAATCACTGGGCATTGCTCCACTGGGGCTCCGAGCTGATAATTAAAGCTCATGGTCCCTGTGAGCCCTTCCAAGGAGATCAATATAATAAATCTTCCTTTTTCCATTTGAATATTTCATCACCCTCACAAGGACCACTGCCTGTCTGTTCGCCAGTAAGGACATGATAACAAGGCCTGGGCTGTAAGTAAACAGCCAGCCAGCGGGGCTGGGTGATGCCCCTAGAATTACGGCTCAAGTTCTGAGTCTCTCAGGGTGAGTGACCCTCTCTCTTTTACTTTCCTGCCTGGCCCATCCTGAAACCTTGGGATTGGGGTTCCCTGTGGGGCCTGAGGGAAGGTAAAACCCTAAGGGAAGGTAAAGGAAGCCCACAGTTGAAGAAGGGCTTAGAAGAAAGTTCAGTGCCGGCCCAGAGAAGGGAGGGAGGGAGGGAGGGAGAAGGGGAACTGACCAAACCAAGCATCTCTTGTGTGCCAGGAACCTTGCCTATCATTGCATGGGACCCTCAAAATGACTGTGCCAGCTTTGCCGATGAGGATGGAGGCCTGGGGGTTAAGTGGCTTCCTTTCCATGGGTATCCAGCTAGGAGGCAGCAAGCCTGGGACAGAACCCCGACAATCTGGCTCTGCATTGTTCGTTACTGTCCACCACTATCGGGGTCTGGAGTGCACAGTGGGGAGGGGAATGTGATGCGTCTGCTCATCTCCAGCTCACTGCCTGGCATATAGTAGGTGCTTCATGAGTCTCTGAGCAATAAGAGAGTAAATTCTACCCCTTAGCCCTCAGCACGAGCGGGGAGGACAGGCAGGGGTCTGGCCTGGGAGGTCCAACCTTGGAGTGAGGAGCCTCAGGCCCCTCAGTTCATGGCTTGAACCCAGTTGCTCACTCCAGGGGTGCATTCCAGGAAATGCCTTATCCCGTGTACCCCTCAACTCTCCTGGGCCTTCTGACCAAGGCAGCATGTGGAGGCAGCTCAGAAGGAACTGGCTTGGAAGACGGCATGACCTGGGCTCACCCTCAACTCTGCCGCTCACTTGCTCACTTGCTCTGTGACCCAGGAGGAGGAGATTTTTCTCCTCAGGTCCCAGTCCCGTGTCTGCAAAATGTCATTTAGCTTGAGGATTAGAGGGGGATGTGATGTGTCTAGCACAGGGCCCGGAAGCAGCGGGTACTCTGTAAATATTGTGTTTCTTTGATTTTTAGATCCTCTCTTCTTTTACCATTTATGAAATCAGAATATATCTTTAATTGGTGTATTCATTTAATGCGGCACTTGTCCTGTAATAATCAGCTGTTTCACGGAGATGAATTTGGAGAATTCCAAATTCTTGTAGACATCACTTCTGTGTATATGTCAGGAGCTGTGTTTCTTTCTTTCTTTCTTTTTATTTTTATTTTATAAGTGAGCCTTCCATCCCACAGCTATAGTTGAGGCTTTGGATTTAGTGCCTTTTCCAATATGTTCTTCTACTCTCCCTTATTCAAATGTGTGTTTTGCTCTCTACATATTTTGCTATATTAGTTTTAATTATAACATCTGAATGGGGGTAGGAAGGCACTCTCTTTGTTTCTCTTTCTACAGCACATAGCATAGTATTAACTATGATTTCTAAATGAAATGTGTATTTGCCAAAATCAGTGACATGATATTTTTTTTAGATAAGAAATATTTCTATAGATTTGCCAGTGAAATTCATTTGCAAGTTTTCTTTTCTTTTTAAGGAAAGAAAAAAAAAGGAGTGAAGGAGAGGAAGAAAGAGGAAGAAAAAGAGGGAGAGAGAACGGAAATGTTGCTTTATTCTAAAAATGGGTATTACTAATGGCCGATCAATATTTCATTTAAACCTGTGAGTAGGTGTGATGTGGTATTGACAAGAATGTATATTTTGTATATTTAAAGTGGAGAGCTCTATAAATATTTATTAAGTTTACTTGTTCCAGATCTGAGTTCAAGTCCTGGATATCCTTATTAATTTTCTGTCTCATTAAGTATAAGTCTCTTTATAGGTCTTATGTATCTGGGTGTTAGGATTGTTAGCTCTTATTGTTGCATTGATCTTTTTACCACTATATCTTTGTTGCTTTAAAATCTATTTTATCAGATGCGAGAATTGCAACTCCTGCTTTTTATTTATTTATTTTTGCTCTCCATTTGGTTGGTAAGTCTTTCTCCATCCCTTTGAGTCTTTGTGTATCCTTGCATGTGAAATGGGTCTGAATGTAGCATGCCGTTGGGTTCTGGCTGTGTCTTTTGATTGGGGGATTTAGTCGATTTAAATTTAGGATTACTGCCATTTGATGTTAACTGGCTGTTTTATCCATTCGTTGATGTAAATTCTTCTTTATGTTGATGCTCTTTACTTTTTGGTATATTTTTAGAAAGGCTAATACTGGTTGTTTCTTTCTATGTGTAATGCTTCTTTCAGAAGCTCTTGTAAAGCAGGCCTGGTGGTAATAAAATCTCTGAGTACTTGCTTGTTCATAAAAGATTTTATTTTTCCTTCAGTTGTGAAGCTTAGTTTGGCTGGATATGAAATTCTGGACTGAAAGTTCTGTTCTTTAAGGATGTTGAATATTGGCCCCCAATCTCTTCTGGCTTGTAGGGTTTCTGCTGAGAGATCTGTTGTAAGTCTGATAGGCTTCCCTTTGTGGGTAACCTGACCTTTCTCTCTGGCTGCCCTTAGTATTTTCTCCTTCGTTTCAACCCTGGTGAATCTAATGATTATGTGCCTTGGGGTTGCTCTTCTTGAGGAATATCTTTGTGGTGTTCTCTGTATTACCTGGGGTTGAATATTGTCTTGCTTTGCTAAGTTTGGAAAGTTTTCCTGAATAATATCCTGAAGAGTATTTTCCAGGTTGGATTCATTCTCTCCGTCATATTCAGGTACACCTATCAAACATAAATTAGGTCTTTTCACATAGTCCCATATTTCTTGGAGACTTTGCTCATTCCTTTTTATCCTTTTTTCTCTCTTCTTGTCTTCTCATTTTATTTCATTAAGTTGGTCTTCAACCTCTGATATCCTTTCTTCTGCTTGATCAATTTGAGTGTTTAAACCCGTGCATACTTCTTGGAGTTCCTGCATTGTATTCTTCAGTTCCATTAATTCACTTATATTCCTCTCTAAGTTGTCTATTCTCATTAGGATTTCGTCAAACCTTTTTTCAAAGTTCTTAGTTTCCTTACATTGGGCTACAACATGTTCTTTTAACTCACAGAAGTTTCTTATTATCCACCTTCTGAAGCCTGATTCTGTTAATGGGATGCACTCATTCTCCATCAAGCCTTGTTCCCTTGTTGATGAGGAACTGTGATCCTCTTTAGAGGGAGAGGTGTTCTGATTTTGAGTATTCTCAGCCTTTTTATGCTGGTTTCTTCCCATCATTGTAAATTTATCCACCTGTTGTCTTTGTAATTATCAACTTTCAAATTAGGTCTCTGAGTGGACGTCCAAGTTGTTAATTCCCAGGGCTGAAATCTGAGCAACCCACTGCGCCGGACAAAACAGCAGCGATAAGACTGATGGTGCTCTTCTGCCTGGGAATCTCCAGTCTGGCTTCCCTCTTAAGTCTGTAATGGGTGACTCTGCCTTCCCAGAGCTCCAAACATTGGTAAGAAGGGGAACCAGTCCCATTTACTCTGCACCAAGAGCTGCCATGCCGAGGTACCAGCAAAACTGCTGGGCTGGCTACAAGAGTTGTGCTGGCGACCCGTGGGGCTCCTCCACTGGGAATCTTCTGGTCTGTGAGCGACAAAATTTTGTCTGAAAGTGTGGCATCCTCTCGTTCTCTGCGCTTTCACTGGGAGCTGCAATCCCGAGATGTTAGCGATCAGCCATCTTGGATCGTTCTCCAGGAGCTGTGTTTCTTGAGCCCCACCTGGTCCTAGACTTGTCATGCTGTGGGTGGGTGTGATGCCCAGGGCTGCTCTGAGGCAAAAGCTGGGGGCATCAAGGTGGTTCTCACCTGCTCTCCCTGTACTTCCTCAAGCCTCTGACTCACCTTCACCAGCTCAAAGTGGTAGGGGTGGAAGACATGCAGGTTCTTGATGGGTATTTTGTAGGACAACAACTCCTCTTTCTGTTTGTTGTCTACCACCTTGAGGATCACAACTGGAAAAAGAAGAAATGAGCACAGATTCAGTTTTAAATGGACCCCTTTCCCTCCCAGTAAGGAGAGACAGTGAGAAGTGAGAGACATCACCAAGAGTAGAGAGCAGGGGCCACACGGGTAAATCAACATGCATGCACGCATGTGGATCACCCCTGTGCATACAAACCCACAAGCACAGTCTGAGCCCCTGCACAGGGTGAGGCTCCATGCCAGCTGCTATTAGGACCCCAACATGCCATTTTCTCCTGTGGCCTAGAGAATCCCAGCCCAGAGACAGACACACACAGAACTGAGTCCAGTCCCCTGTGACAACAGACACACATGTGCACACACTGAGTACACAGGCAAACAGGCATAGCACTTCTTTCCAGGAATAAGACTCCTTTCCTTGGTCACAAACACTTATGCCAGCTCTTGATGGAACAAGGATGGGGAGAGACTATCTCACACATGTTGCAGGTGGAGAAACTGAATTTCAGTTGGAAAAAGTGATTTGCTCAAGAAATCCTTTAATACAGCTATCAATAAAAGTCTACTGCGAGTCAGAGAAAACTGGTCTAAATACTAAGAACAATGGACCACTTGGTAAACACCCTCCAAAGAGACTATATTATCTCATGAAACGGCATGAATGTTGGTATAAACTTTTTTTTTTGAGACAGAGTCTCACTTTGTCACCCAGGCTGGAGTGCGGTGGCACGATCTTGGCTCACTGCCACGTCCGCCTCCTTGGGTCAAGTGATTCTTCTGCCTCAGCCTCCCAAGTAGCTGGGATTACAGGCACTCGCCACCATGCTTAGCTAATTTTTGTATTTTCAGTAGAGACAACGTTTTGCCATGTTGGCCAGGCTGGTCTTGAACTCCTGACTTCAGCTGATCCATCCACCTCGGCCTCCCAAAGTGCTGGGATTACAGGCATGAGCCACTGTGCCTGGCAAGTATAAGCTTTAAGGAGAACACCAATCTCCTATAAATAATCATGCCAGTGCTGTTTAGTGGGCAGGACTGCCATGATTATTTAGTGAGCATCTACTATGTGCCAGGCATGGGGATGGGCATTTCTCAGCCATGATTCTAATGAATTCTCACCACAACCCCTCAGGTGGGTATTATCATCTTTCTTCTTAAAATATGAGCAGTGGGGCTCAGAGGGTTATATAACTTGATCACCATCACACATCTGGAAAGCAGATGATGGGAAGGGTTACATCTGGTGACACTCAAGGCATCTGTCTATTCTAGAAACCTATGATTTGAGGAGGAAGAAGAGATGGGGAGAAAAGAAGGAGAAGGATAGAGGAGGAATGGAGAACAAATGAGAAAGATGGGGTAAGAAATGATACAAAACAGAGAAGAATAGGAAATGGAGGATGGAGCAGAGAGGTGTGCCTGAGGGAGAAGGAGCCCCTTGCCCTCTGCTTCTCTTGAGACAAGAGATTTCAGCACCAGGGACAGCAGCCGACCCTTGAGGGCTCTGCGGCTGGGTCATTTGGAACTGGATGGGTCATTTTGAGAAGGAAACTGAGGGTTTTGTTAAGTATTCTTCCTTTCTCTGTCTTCCCCACAGCTATCTCAAGAGCTGGCCACATGGGATATGTGCTCAAAGGAAAGAAGGGGGAAAGGGCACCGAAGGTGTTGAGATTGGCTTGAAGAAAGGAGGCTGAGGAAAGGGATTTGAAGTCAGCAGACCTGGGTTCTAGTATCAAGACACTAACTTGCTCTGCGACTGTCAGCAAATCTTTTAGCCTCTTTCAGCTTTATGTTCCTCCTCTTCCACATGTTAAGACTTTAATAAAGAAGTCATGTCTCCCCCCTTGGATTGTGGTAGGGAGAAGACTGTGTTTTCAAGCTATAACATTCTGTGCAAGCACTCCTTGTGGCTGTCACTATTTTCCTTCCTTGTTAACCATCTGCAGCTCTCCATACACAAACCCTGCTGTAGGCAGACCTGAGGAAACTCATCTGGGGGATTCCAATGCTCCCAGCCAAAGCACTACCAGGAGCTGTGCAGACTGAAGCCCCTTATGCCCACTCACCATGGACCAAGAGTCCCCAGATCCAGTTGGGATTTGCCAGGGTTGAACGAGAGGTGAGTGCCATGCATTTTCTGCACCCTCTATTTTTGGAGCTCTGTGTGGGCAGTCATCAGATGAGCTGGAATTGGGGGTAATGGACAGCCACTCCTCCCTGCTCCTGTCTGCATGCTACAAACACGCTTCATCAGCTTCCTCTCTGGGCATTGTGCCCTTCCGGCCTCCCACTGCTCCCTTTGTGTGGCCAACAAGCTATTTCTGCCACCCGCCTGCTTTGGCCCTGACACAGGGTCTGAAACTCCCCTTTGCTTTTCATTAACACATCGTTAAGCTACCTCCCACCCTTCCCCCGCCTCTTGGCCTGGCCCCCATCTCCCCCACCCCCACCACAGACATCACCACAGCAACCGGTACCAACAACCATCCAGCTACTTCAATCTGCAGTGAGGCGCCTGCCAATATTCCTTGCCTGCCCAGGCAGCCTCCCCACTCTCTTGTCCCTCCTGCAGTTAGTCCTGCCCCTCTCTCTGCTGCACAATGGGCCCAGGGGTCACTGACCTCATTACATTTTTCCCTCTGTTACCCCAAGTGTGTAGAGCCCAGGGCAGGATCCCAGCTCAGGTCCACTCACCACAACCTCTAACTTCCCACCAGCCACATAAATGCATGCATGCATGCATGCATACCCACACAGGCACACACACAAACTACACATACTCATGCACTGCAAGGCACACACCACCATCCAGATCCATCCAGACACACACACACCACACTGTTGCAGCCAGACACACCCATGTACACACACACACACATAAGCCATACAGACACGCATGCCTACAAGTAGACACAGCACGCATCACATTCACACATGCGCATGAACCAGCATGCAGGCATTCACAAAGACATGCACACACAGGCACGCTTGTGCCTCTGCATGAAATCTTATGTCAATTTTTCCTCCTCTTTTGCATCTTGTTAAAGCATCCCAGCAGCTCCACCTATCCCTTTACAGGCAGAAAAGAAAAATTCTCTCGCTTGACCTAGAACTAGCTCCTTCCCCTTTTATGGAGGCTCCCACTCCATTTCCTTTCTCCCCTTTCACAGTCTTCAGCTGGCTTTCTGCTCTTTGTGAGGAGAACAAGGAGTTCTGTCTAGATCCCTAGCAAGATTTCAAGGGAGAAAGGCAAGGCTGTCCCCTCAGGGAGAGACCACCTGCAAGAAGCAAGTCTGAGGTTCCGACTAGATAAGATCAGAGACATCACCAGGCACCTCCGGTCTGTTCTGACAGTGCCCAATGTGATGCCGCACGGTCTGGGCGTCAACCAGTCAGCATTCCCATGTTCCCCGCCTGAGCTCCCCCAGGAGCTCAGACCCGCAGTCCAACAGACCCACAGTGTGAAAGTAGATACAAGTGTGCACATGCTTGTGTGTACGTGGCACCTGCTGGCTCAGGCTGAGACCTGGGGAGGGCTAGGAAGGAATAGGGATCCATTCTAGGGACCTTTCAAATATTTTTTTAAAAATCAAATGGAAGTAGCAAGAACCCTGGAGCTGCAGTGAGAACATGCCATGTGGAGTCCTTGGTCCTCGGTCTTCAGCTTAAGCCAGTTAAATTCCCTGAACCTCAATGTTCTCTTAAGCAATGGGAGCAGCACTGCTCCTCCTGGGAGCTGGTAACTCCAGTGAGCGATGTGTGGGGACGTGCTGGGACACTGTAATGTCCTGTTTCAGTGGGAGACGGCAGTAATAACAGCCATGAAAATAATAACAACAGTCATAAAAAAAGATAAGCTTGCATCGTCTGGAAAATTCATTTATGTGGAACAACTCATTTTTCGAGCAGGATGGGGAGATGAGGTGTGACAGTATTATGATTTGTTCTAAGTGCTTTTAACTGAGCCCAGGGAAGTGTGCAGGTGGCTACCAGCTGCGCTGAAAGGGAGCCTGCTTCTGCCCTGAGTCCTTGGCCGTGTTCCCCCGCTGCCTACATATGCAGGTCCCGCCCAGCCCCCACCTCACCTTCTCGCCCTGCATCCTCAGCTGGGATCTCCACGTTCACCGTGTCCCCCCAGATAGGGGCTCTGGTGGGCTCTGAGGTCACAGATGTGACTGCCTTGGAGCTCTGGTCATTCTTTTCTTCAGATGTGCTTTTCCTGGGGAGAACGGGGGCAGAGTGAGTCAGAGAGAGGGGTCCTGTCTGTTGCTATCCCCCTTCCAGGCTCCACTGTCCATAAATCTGAGTGAAAGGTGGACAAAACATGGAGAGCTCCTTCCCACACGCATGACCCTCATGTCATCCCAGGCCCAGGGGACTCCAGGCCTCTCCCCTGGCTCCCCTGCCAGCCCAAGTGACCACACTGTCTTGCTGGCCACTGCTGAGGCCTTCACTCAGACACAGGCCTCTCATTTAGGCTCAGGGCTGGGGTAGGGGTGGGGGTAGATGCCTTGTCCTCGCCAGGGAGGGCTCTCCAGTTGGTGCCCACGTGCATGGCCTCCCTCTTCTCTAGGTTCTCTCTGGTGGGATGAAGCCTCTGGGCAGGGTGGCTGTGCGGTGCCCCGCCTGGCTGTCCTCTCTTCTTCACCTTATTTCCCTAAACTTCTGGCCCAGATTCTAGGCTCCACCCAGCAATCCCATTTCTAAATGCTTGCAATGAAGCACGTACATGGTGCCTTCTGCGATGCCTGCTGGTGCCGAGCCTTGGGCTGAACCCCTGGAGCTGGGTCCGGGCCTGGGGGCAGGTGGTGGTGGGAAGGGCTTCTCAGCCCTGCAGCACTCAAATTGTTCAGGATCGGCCTGTTCAAGGTGGCATGTGAGCTTGGGCCCTCTGCATCCCAGTGCACCTCACAGGTATCTGAGATGCAGAGCCATCAGACAGCTCAGGAGAGAGTAAATACTTCTCCTCTAGAAGAGGTTACTAGGTCAGGGCCATCCACAGTGCTGCTCCATTAACTGCAGCAGTCATGGGCTGAGGAGTCATCCTGGAGGTCCTGTAGCAGGGGGAGCCACACTGCACCCCTTGTGGGGGAGAGGCAAGGTGCACAAATGGTACCCCAGGATGGAAGCAAAGATGTCATCGCCACCAGCCCTTGTTCCACCTTCAAGGCCCCCAAAGGGAGTGGGGCAGGCCAGTTAGCTGAGATCACATCTGCTCTGTGCATTCGCAACACCAACGAGGTTCTCCCCAGCCCACCTTGTTCCTCTCCTCCAGGAAGCCCTCTGGAGCACCCTGGCCCTCATGCTCCCTCTGTCCTTTAGATTTAAGTGATGCTGTAACCTGGCTCCTTGTCTCCACTCCTCAGAGTGCTGCTCCTGTGGGTAACCATGCACCGGTGGGTTCCATCCCCCAGCTCCACGGGTCAACTGAGGACTCCCGCTCTGCTTCGACTGAGAGGCAGTGTGACACAGTGATTGTAACAGGGACCCTGCAGCCGGGCATTTTGGGTTCCAAATCCCAGCTCTACCCACTACGAGCTGTGTGACATTGGGCAAGGTATAGAATCTGTGGTGCCTTATTTCTTCATCTATGAAACGAGATGGTAACGGTGCCCGCAGGACTGCAGTGGAATGAAACGAATATGTGTAGTGCTTGGCACATTGCTAAGTACCAAGAAAGTGTTAATAATTCTTAGTACCTTAAACTACTAAAATATAAATATAATTCCTTGTTATTACCCCATACATAGCATTGGAGATCTTAGACTCACTGACCCTCCTGCAACCAGCCCCTTTGCCCTGGCGTGATTTCTCCCCATCATGTCCCCAACTTTGGGGCTACAATTGGGGATATCTGGCTGCTCTGGCCAAGGTGTGGAATCCTGGAAAGAGCACAAGCTCGGGAGTGACTCAGAGCTGGATTTGGAGTCTGCGTTTATCCTGGTGGGATCACCCCTCCTGCATCCAAGTTCCTCCTTTTTCAATAGTACCCCCCTCAGAGAGTGGTTATAAGGACCAGAAAGAAAGCATGTTCAGCTCCCTGCACCCAGGAAGCCCCAGTTCATATGATGCCCTTGTTTGTGATACAAAACAGCCTGGGCATTTTCTTTCTTTTTTTTTTTTTTTTTTTTGAGATGGAGTTTCACTGTTACTACCCAGGCTGGAGTGCAATGGCGCAATCTCGGCTCACCGCAGCCTCCGCCTCCTGGGTTCAAGCAATTCTCCTGCCTCAGCCTCCCAAGTACCTGGGACCACAGGCTATGCCACCATGCAGCCTGGGTGTTTTCTTAAGAGGACCTGCCTGATGGCAGCATAAAGGGGAAGGAGGTAGGTGCTGAGCACAAGCTGGAGTGAGAAGGAGCATCTCTCAGAGAGCCAGAGTCCTCCTCAGATGAGCCATACATGTCACCTCCACAGGCCCTGCAGAACGTGCTCCTCACGCCTGCAAAGGAGCGTGTGGGAGGATGCCAGCCTGGAGAGGGAGGGCAGAAGCCTGGCAGTGATGATCTGCTTGCTCCCTCTACCCTTAGGTCCCTTTTTCCCTCCGGTTCTGTGGCCAGGCTTGACAGGAGTGTGCAATCTAAGCACCTCCTACGACACTCTGTGCCCCAGTTCCCACCCCTGACAGCTGCCCCAGCAAAGTCAGAGACCTCAGGCTCTGGGCAGCCTCCCTGAGCTACCCAGCCACCCGATCTGCTACTTACAGATATACAGTTAGTGCACAATGAGGCCTCACAGCCTCCCTCCTCAGGGACCTGCACAGAAAGAACAGCAGGATGGAAGTGCCGAGGGTGTGTCAGGAGGAAGTCAGTCCTTCTGCACCCAAATGTCAACCCCAGAGCTGGACACAAACCTGCACCTGCATGGGCACATTCCTGGGGGATTCCTAGGAGGGATCTTCACATGGCTCTGGGTGCACAGAGGACACGACTGAAGATGTGAAGTCACAGGCAGCAGAGTGGCAGGAGTCAGGTTGTCCCCCATGCCCCATACTTGCCAGTCTGTCTTCTATCCTCATGTTCCCCCAACCCCTGCAAGCTCCTGGGAGGCTGGCAAGAGGAATTCCCAGGTGCAAGGAGGTGGGGAAGGGCCATGGGGCAAGGCAAGGAAGCAGGTGCTGACTTTCCTCCGGCATAGAAACAGTTAAGCAACGATTTTCCTCACCTTCCCACCCCATCTAGTACCAGGAAGGTCGTCAGGGCTAGGTGAGCACAGATAAAGCAACTGAGTGGGAGGGGGAGGCCCCAGGGGAACATGGAGGCTTTTAGCAGGTGGAGGAGGGCTGTCAGGGTAATGGCTTTTCCTGGCACAGCTGACTCCTCCTGGCCCTGATGCTATTCTAGAATCTGGAGAGCAAGAAGGGATTCTAATTTTTCACAGAATAAGAGCAGGGGACCAGCTCTCTCCCTGCTCCCAGCCCGAAGATGGGCATGTGGCTGAGTTCTAGGTCCCCAGGTTCCCTCGGGGCTCCCAATGCAGTCTTAGAGCCCAGGAGACCTCTCCAAGACCCACCTCCCTAGGCCTCTCCACAGGCTGTCTGCAAGGAGAGATCTCCTTCCCTGTCCCGCCAAAGACCTGCCCTGTTGGTTTGGACCTGCTAACTCCAGACATTCAGGGCCAGGAGGAGCTAATAGGTGATGTCTGCTGTCTCAGGGCCAGATTTAATCCAGCCACAGCCTGGGCAGCCATGCTAGGATAGGACTGGAGTTGGGTTTAGAGGTGCAGTGCAGCAGCCCTGGGACCAACCTGCAGGAAAATGTAAACCACCTTCAACCTGGCCGACCCGCCAGATACCTTCTTTTCTTCATCTATAAAAGGAGATGGTAACAGGCTACTGGAAGTGTGTGTGTGTCTTTGACAAACTCCAGTCCCTAGCCAGGCATTTCTGGGGCTCCCACCCCAGCAGGGGGTGAGGGGGCCAGGCCCAAGCACAGCTGTGAGTGGGAGGGAACAAGGACTTTGCTTCCCTTCTGCAAGGTCACGACTAAGGGAAAATGTGTCATCTGGTTCCTGGGGGCTGCAGCTGTGAGAGGAAACAGGGAGCATGGGAAAAGCAGGGGACTTGATGGAAAGAAAGCAAGAGTGCTCATGAGCCACTTTCTCCCTCACCCCAGGGGATACACACACACACACATCCATACATGCGCGCGCACACACACAGGCACACAAATGCATGCATGCATACATGTATACGTGCATAAAAGCTGCCCAGAGAGGTGTGAGTACCACACTGTACCCACCCTCTAACCTGCCACCCCTCAAGCTGCCTCCGGAGTCTTCACACCTGAGCCCACCTGCCCTGCCTGTCCTCTTGGCCTCCAGCTCCCCTCAAAGCCTCAAAGCAGGAACACTAGTCAAGGCCTGGCCTCCTCTTGGGCAGAGCTTCAGAAGGTAGGGCACAGGTGGCCTGGCTTGTTTTGAGTGCCAATCCCAGGACTGCCACCAGGAGAGCAAAGGAAAGAGGAGGGCCTCGATGTAGGTCTGCTGTGGCTGCCGGGGTCCTGGCTGGGCAGGCTCGTAAATCCTAAAAGACCAGAGGGATGTTCCCAGAAGCCCCATGGGAGGGAAGCTGTCAGGCAGGCACTGAGAAGGATGGATAAAGAGCAGATCTTGGCCGGGCGTGGTGGTTCAAGCCTGTAATCCCAGCACTTTGGGAGATGGAGGTGGGTGGATCAACTGAGGTCAGGATTCAAGAATAGCCTGGTTAACATGGTGAAACCCCGTTTCTACCAAAAATACAAAACATTAGCCTGGCGTGGTGGCATGTGCTTGTAATCCCAGTTACTCAGGAGACTGAAGCAGGAGAATCGCTTGAACATGGGAGGCAGAGGTTGCAGTGAGCCAAGATGGTAGACTAGGAGGTCTTAAGCCCCTTTGACCTGGTCTATCACAGCCCATTGCTGGCTCACCTGGGAAACCGAGAGGGAGGTGAAGGAACTGGCAGTCCTCCAGGCCAGCTGTCAGATGTCATGGTGGGGCCTCAATCTTTCCTGAGAAGGTAGGGCAATTCCCCTCTATCTGCTTCCTCCATGCCAGCTTCTGAGCCAGGGAGGCCTGCCTCCTCCTTCCTCCATAAGTCCAAGAGGCAGCCAGACTCCTAGGCCATAGGCTAGGACTGCCTCCATCCCTGGAAGGTGGAGGAGGTGAGGAGTTGGCTTCTGCAGAGATAGTCATCTGAATGGGGTGGCCAAAGGCTGGGTTCCTGTGTTTCTGACCCTA